TTTTCCCATTGTCTAAGACTCTCTGAAGTCACAGAGGAAATACGAGGCCTTTAGATGAACTTTCGGGCCAGGTGAAAGTGGACCTAAGCATCCATCCCTTGGTAAAGACTGGAAGTCAACGCTTGTGCATACTTTTTTCAGTCAACTGCCTTGCTAAACTTTTGGAATTGAAACTGTGCAATGTTGTTTTTCAGTTGTTGCATGTCTTGGCCATGGTGTGAATACCTCGTTACAAATAATGAGACTTGCTCTGAATCACTGTGACCTATAGCATTATGGAGTTCATGTGAGGGGAGGATGAAATGAGATGATATTTTGGAATTGTTGCAGGAAATTGTGACTGATGTGTAGAGTTGAAATCCCATGCAGTGGTAAGAGAATATAGACAATTTTGTGAATTTATGTCCTGGGTATATAATTTTTCTGGGGTGGCAGACAGATTTTTAATTTCCAGCTCAGAGAGGAGTAGGCAGAAAAGCATATAATACACAGTTACGTATATTGTCCTCTAACAGACAACATTAAAACTTTTGAAAGCAAACAAAATATTTTAAAAAATCTGTAGAAAGCTAAGGTATATTTTGTTTGCATTATTGATTTTTAGTTGGTGTTGCTTGTTATATGTTTTTTTCTTCTTCAGGCAATTAAGTTCATCGTAGAGAGAGATGCGCACAAAGATTTCTCTCATTTTCTCCCCATGCTGAACAAAGATGAAAAATACAATAAGCTCCTGATTGTAAATATTAAACGACTGTAACCAAGGCATTGCCAGTAAGCTACAAGTGGCATATTATATGGCAGAAGAACACTGAGTGAAATTGTGAAGATATTTATGCTTATTGTGTGACCCTTTTTGAATTCATGTTACTTTCTGGGTAGAACAATGAAGGGAGAGAAAGAGATGACTAATATTTTGTGGTTTTGCTGTAATACTGTTAGGAATTATTTCAGAGCGTTGAAGTTTGCAAGTTACAGTTACCAACTGACTCAAACAGAGTAACTAATAACAACACTTTTTGACATTCTTCTCTGGCTTCAATGTATATTAACCACAGCAAGTGGTTCCAAGTGAAGCCACAAAAAGAATAGTTCCCATTTATATGGAATATGATGAGTAACTCCGTTGTAAGTTCTTTTTGCCTTAAAATAACACTATGTAGTTTTCCTTCCTTCATCATTGTTCTGCAGATCTTAACACACTGTTCTCTTCTTCGTTACCTTTTCTCCTTGATTTGGCTTTGCTTTATATGTTACCTTCAAAAATGACCCAAGGTTGGCAACCATGTAGGCAAGATCCACATTTTGGAGCTGTATGTGGTCTGCTTCTCTGTAGCAGCTGTTCTTTCCCCCACTTTTCTCCTCCCCAAGGCAATAGTTGCCAAACTCACTCCTCCTTCAGCTGCTGACAGGCCAACGGGGAGCAATGGGGTACTGCTATTTGGAGGAGTGGGAAGGGAGATGTGATGACTACTGCTGCCAAAGTGTGTAAGCTCGGAAGCTAATAGTGCTACACAGCTCTTCAGCTAGCCCGGGAGGAAACTTTAGGGTGCTAAATGCCATTTGCTCTGCAGACACCTCTTTCCCATCTCCTCCAAAACAGGGAGTGAAGTCTGGGTGGGGAGGGGTCCTGTAGCTACGTGCAGTCTTTGAACCATTGGTTAGAATGTGCTGGTTGACATGATGAGCCAAGTTCCCTGCTAAAGGACATACATAAATTCAGCCAATTATGGCTGTTAGTGAAGGACAGGTTCGGTACGTTACCTTCTGGTCACCAAGTGCTCTCCCTGTAACCCTATGCTAAAAGCTGTGGCGAAAGTGGCATATAAGACCTAAAGGAACTGTTAACAACTCCCCTACACCAAGAGTCCTTTTCTGGGAGTGACTAATCTCTGTTTTATTTCCATAGAGAAGTAAGGAGAAATAGAGCAGGGCAGAAAATACTTGGAGTAATTGCAACAGAGATGAAAGAAAACCTGATGAGTATAGATTACTACTTATTCACACGTGTATGTTAATTTTTTTAAAAAATGAAATAAAGAGGGGAAAGGAAGGGGTGCCTTAGGTTATCTGTTTTGCCTTTGACATTAAAAAGTGCCAGTCTTTGATTGTACAAAGTGCTTTATCATAGCAGACAGTGTGGTGTTACCAGAAAAACCTTACAAAACCTCCTTCAGAGTCAGAAAAAGATGAATCCATTTTCTCATCTGTTTGTATGATTTTTGATCAAAAGCTTGCTTTGTTAGAACAACCTTTTCCAAGAATTATATTATTTCGTAGTTTTTCACAGATATGTGATTTTAAAGCCCAGAAAGGAAATGTATAAGGACTGCACTTCAGCACTGTGATAATTACATGGGTTGATGTATAGATACATTTAATTGTAGTGTATGTAATTAAAAATCAGCACTTGCAGCTGTCACTTTTGGTCAGGCTAGATAAATAATGTAGATATTAGTTGATTTGGTAAATTGTAATCATTCAATATTTTTAATGCTGGCAGCAAGTTACAGTGCTTTTACAGTGACAGTCATTCAGATGTTTGTGCACAGTTTTTTCCTTTGCTGCAGTGCTGAAGAGGGTCACTGATTCCCCAGTGAAATAACTCAAAGCCTTTCTAATCAGTGAAGAATAATTGCTAGATTTCTTGGCAAGATCAGTTAATGTTTTAAGTGGTTTTATTGCCAAACTGTTGAACCTTTACCTAATAGCTGAGTATTCAGACCTACTTTGCTGAATGGCATGAATCCCAATGGAGAATGCTGTCAGGGTCTCTTTCTGAAGTACTCGAAAGCAAAAAAATTTACTGTATAGAGTGACGCTGCTTCTGTTAAAGACGGTCTAACCCACCGAAAGAGCACTGTAAACTGCAGTGTAACCTGTGCAAACTGTACTGCAGATTTTCTGTACTTTGTAAACAGCCTGGAAAAAATCAGCTTTGTCCTTTTATTAAATTTGTATTTAGTTTTCAAAAACCATATTTTTCAGTCCAATGTTAGAAAGTTCATAGTCTGTTTATATAGATGGCACTCCACACAGCTTAATTTCAGCTCTTCTGGTTTTTCGGCTGTGTGAGTTAGGCAGCTGGTTCAGGTAAGGATTCTGCACGTACCCTAAAAAGTAGCATTTAGACTTTCTCTTTTCTTTCTAATGATTTAGCACTCTTCTAATGATTTTGCAGTGAAGCAGCTTCATGTGTCCTGTTATTTTTCTGGTTTTAGTATTTTTCTTCTGAGACTGTTGTTAAGGAATGGGAAAAAATCACCAAAACTCATTCATTGTAGCCTCTTGTGCTGTATTGTGCATGCTGCATCTTCAAAAATATGAGTGCAAATGGAAATTTTCAAATCTATAGTCCTGCAATAGGGTTTTTGGCTCTTTTTGACTTTTTAAGCTGCTGTTATGTTAGCCACTTGAGCCATTAATTGCCTCTATCTGATTAACTGGAGGAAAAAAAAGCCTAACTATTTATGGCCATCTGTTTGTAAATGACAAAATCAAGAAGTAAAAATCGGTCTTGAAATTTTGAATGATCTCGCATTATATGGCTCTTCCTGCAACAGTAGCTATATGTGGCATCGTTATGAAAGTCAGAGAAAGATGTGCTGTTTTCTGGTATTGTCGTCTCCCCCACTACTAACAGCGAATAGTGAACTGATTTCTTTAGACCTCACTAATAGATCAAGAAAGAGCAAAAAGGAGAGGCTATGTCATTTTATCCAAAGAGAAAGAAAAATTTCACTAGTAACCTGTAAGCTAAGGTCCTAAAGTGGGCTGCTCTTATTTTTCTATTATGACTCTTCCAAGGAATGTCAGTCCTACGGGTGAATTTTATTTTTTGTTTGGAGGTAAGGAAGGAAAATAAGCTTTTGTGAGGAGAACCATTTCTTGCAGATCAACAATCTTTATTTTATTTTTTGAATAATTGAAAGCTTTGTATTTGGTAGTAACTCACAAAGGGTTATCTGTAAGCTTTAATATTGGTACTTGTGCACTATTTAAATACCAGGAAGGTAATTAGGCTTTCATAGTTTCCCAGGGAAGGCTTTTTGTATTCACTTGTCTTTTGATGAGAAGAATCTGGTGCAGCATTTCTTTTATCAGTACAACTGCTGTCCTAAACCCCGTCCCTTTGTTCCCTAAATCCTGTTTGTTTATTCTTTGTGTATGTATGTGCCACCCATGAGGCAACTCAGTTCAGATACTGACTATTTTTCTATTGTATTTTCGTGTAAAACAGATAACTAACTGCCACAGAAATTGCTATACTCATCAACTATTCCTAGCTCTGTTAGCCTATATGGTTAGGTCTGATCCTGAGCTTGCTCAAGCAAGAAAATATTTACTCTGGTAAATTATCCCTCTGAAAGGAGATAAAGAACATAATATTAAATTATGAAGAAGAACAAGCAAGAATCTGCCAAGGATGAATTTCTTGCTGTGCCAGCACCCATACCATCCACAAAGCTAAGGGGGAAATATATGGTGGTAAGTGAGAAGATTATTGGCAGTGAGGCAAATTCACAGAAGCAAAATGACTGAAGACTGGAAGAAATGCATTTCCAGGCACATGGGCATACTGTGATACAGTAGGTGTTAGAGCCCCATTATTTGAATCTGCCTCTAAGCCTCAAGACGCATCTAACCGCACTACTAGGTTTCGGGAGATGACTAATGTATAGCAAAACTTCAGTGACCTTGAGAAAGAGGTTCTTGTTATCCTGAGATATCTTTCCTAGTGTTACTAGGGCCCAGTGATCTTTTGAAGATGGAATCTGAATATACTGAGAGTGCTGAATGATAAGTATGTACTACGATAGAAATACTGTGGAAAAAGGAATTCATATGTTCTTTTAGTTTTAATTTATATATTTCAAATAGATATAACATCAAAACAAGAAGCTTATTTCTGTATTGTCCTTTCTGCTGCATAAATTCTATCACTGAAATAAACATTTATCATAGTCCATTTATTGAGTAATTTTAGCATTTTTTTCTTTCAGTAACTTCTGGTCAAACTGTTGCTGTGGATACACAAACCAGTGTAACCAAGGAAACTACCACCTTCAAACCAGAAATGCCATCTTCTGTGCTTTTGGAGGTTCCAGCCTTGGCTGACTTCAATAAGGCATGGGCAGAGCTCACAGACTGGCTTTCTCGACTGGATCGAGAGATAAAATCTCAGAGAGTGACGGTGGGCAATCTTGATGATATCAACGACATGATCATCAAACAAAAGGTATGAGAAACATTGATTTTTCACCTTACAAGCCTTATAATCTTCATTCTGAATTGAATCATTTCAACAAGGAACACAGGAGAGATGATAGGTTGCAATGCATATAGTGGTTACTTAAGCTATTTTATCTTATAAATAGAATTATTAGATTAAATGTTAAGATAACTAATGGAAGAAAAGGGTATTCCATAATTTCTCTGATACCAAGCTAAATCTCTTCATCTTTCCATTGCTTATGCTGCTGTTTTCACAACTGTATGCAAGCTAATGGTTGAAATACAAAGCTCAGGAGAAAGAAGGAATTGAATAGGAAGCTCCAGGTTGCAAAGAGAGAAGATGCACTGTTTCATACCTTTCTTATATTGTTTCTATAATAACTTTCTGTGAGGCTTGTTTCCTGATGCTATTGGGGTATGAAAAGCCTCTCAGTCCTCTTAAAGAAAAGAATAGCTCATTAATCCAGGTATTTTGTCAGCAAAACCGCATTAGCGTTGCTTGTCATTGAAAACACACAAAAACTTGGATATATATGTGAAAGGACAAAAAAGTCTAAACTTTAACTTCAGCAACTCAGTAGCAATAAAAGTAATTTGTTATTATACAGCTTGAAAGTAATTACCTGCCTTCTAGATTTAACACTGCTCAATGTAGAAGATTTGGCTTGCCTGGGCAAAACTTTTCAGTGTTAAATTTCCATTCATTGCAGCTCTAAACTAAATTTAGGACTCTCTATTATAAAATATTCTGCTTCCTCCTTCAATATAAAGTGTGATTTATTTTAAGGAAGATACCAACATTCTTTCACTTTACTTAAAGTAAAAACTAAGGTAGGGACAATGGACAAATTTTGTGTAGTATTGGTATGAAATGATTTTATAGGAAGGTGTCATTAAAATAAGCAAACGTCTAGTAAAACTTATTCTGCTCATTTTCTTATATTTATTTTTTCTTTTTTTTGATTTGCTTTACCTTTTAGATTAATAAAAGGTATGTTTCATCTTGATTAGGGATGACAGTGGCTGTCATGAAAAAACCTTAGCTCTCTTCTTCCCATAGATCTCTTTTACCTATAAATGAAATTTAATTATTAACTCTTGAGAACCACAATTTCAATTAATGTTTCAATTAATGTTATGCATCTTTTAAAATGAACAGTTTTATATCTGCATTTCATCTTAAAGCTAAAATATTTTGGCCAGTCTAAGTCAGTACTATTGCAGTCCTCCTCTCGCTTCTGTTCCTGGCTGAGTAGCCCTGTCTCTGTTCTTTATCCCATGCTGAGCTGGTAGCTAAGGCAGCAGGAAAGCGCTTTCTTCTTGTGTTTACCTCCCTAATAGGCTGCGCAACAGAATGTGACATTTAATATATTCTCTGATGAAACAGAAGAATCAGAACACCTAAATATAGACTGCAGTTCTGTTAACTGGCTCTCAGTCCTATAGTGATCATTGAGATAAGGCACCACATAATACGTGAAAATGAATGCCACGAAAGTTTGATTCTGCTCTTAGATCTATCATTGGATTATTAGATGAGATTAGCAAACAGTTGGGCCAGGATTTTCAAAGATGACAACAAATTTAGATTTCTCCAAAAATGCTTGCTTTCTAATATACAGAGTATCTGCAACACTGTGTTAAATGGCGAAGTTGGAGCTGTGGCTGAGCGACCTTGTTAGACCTTGGCTATTCTGAAGAATCAGGCCAGAGATGATCTAAATTGAAAAATCAAAATTAGTGCTTAGCTCCCCAAATCTGTATATTCTGTAAAACATTATAGTCGTACCTTTCTTGTGGTTGTGGTTAAAAAGTCAGTGAAAACCTCAACACTGCATTGTGGTCTTTGTCAATAGATTTTTGCAACTCCACAGGAAGTTATGTAAGCTTTAGTAGCAGTTCCATCATCGTAGACTCTTTTTCTATGCACCAGTTTTTGTAAGGTATCATCTTATCATCTTAACGCTGCTGGCTACCTCCCTTAGAAAAATGTCATTATGAAGATACATACTGTCATTGAAACTATTTTATCATAAAGCATCTCAAGTTGCTCATCCAGATTTAGAGCACTGCAGATCGTTAGTCCCCCTGAAAACGTTGACCTCCTATCAAGCTATTAATGTTTATTTTAATACTGTCTTTGTTTTTTGTTTCCGTTTCATATTTCTTTCCAAAGAGAGCTATGCTTTTAATAGCAAATAGAAATGTTAAAGCAAACATTTTAAAGGTAAAGAAAACCCATATCCTAGTGATGTACGTAACAGAACATTTTCCGAGCCAGCCAGGTAAAAACGAGTGATGTTAAATTTTCCTTTCTTTCAGAGCAGCACATAATGTTATTGAAGCTAACTCTCTCAGGGCATTTTGGTTAGGTTCATTGCATTCTGATTGTGTCAGAAGATCACAGTCGCTAACTCTGCCATATTTTTCCTCCATAAAAGTTTAAGACATCATTAGCCCCTACTTGAACTTTGCTTAAAAGTGATCACAGGCAGTTGGAACTCTTGTGTGAGTGCTAGGACAATAAAGTAGCATGTACAAAGGTTAACTGTGGAACAAAACAAAACAAAAAAGATAACTGTTTTAAAAAATCTTGTTTAGTGTCAGCTTCTCTGTAATGAACGAAACAGTGCAATTTAAATTCTGCTAAGCAGTGCGCATACTGTTTAGTGAAAGCGTGCTAAAAGAGTAAGATAATGGCCATTCATTTCAGTCTCTCTATAGTTAACCTTTCTGTCAAGTATGAGTGGAGTGTAAGTATATTTCTCTCGTGCAAATGTGTTACATATTTTTAGCCATCTATGAATGTCTCTATGAATGGACATATTCTGTATTATTAAACTAAATGACCCAAAAGAGTGTGTAGTAAATAATATTTAGCATTAATGTCCTCCATGTTTTCATTAGAGGAAGATTACTGTACTGTACTCATCTGCTTGGAAGACTGATATTTTGCAGCGTTTGATCCTCAGAGAAACTGATGTAAGATAGGCTTACAAAAGAGTTGTATGTAATTTTCCTTACATAACCTTCATCTATAAGTAAAGCTGAGGGGAAATAATGAGAATATATAACAAGCCGAGATGTAGATAGTTGAGGAACGTGGCAGAATAAAGTTTACACTGTCTTCGTTTCTCTGTCCTGACTTCAAAGCAATCAAGATATTTTATATTTGAAGGTCAGGAGCGGGTTCTACGTGAAAGAGAAAATTATAGACACAGGGACAGGACAATAAAATACATTTTACTATGTTAAAAAAAAAAAGGCAATCTCTCCTTACTTAAGATACTAGCAAGCCTCTACTCAGAAACTCTGCTTTGGCATCAGTATATTTTGAGGGAAAAGTGTGGTGGGAATAGTCAGATTTCAGCAGTGAACAAAGGAGGCTGTGCAAAGCTTGAAGACAACTGACTGTGCTATTAAAAGAAAACAAATACTGTGATCTCCTTAAATTTTGAATTCTGTCCATGATTTTTTGCCTTTGCTGAGGCACACTGTCCATGCAAACTTTTTGCAACATATATAACTGAAAGCATGGCTATCAGCTGTACTTGAAGAAAATAGATTTTACTTATGAAAAGTTACTATAATAATAAGCATTATTACTAATGGTTTTAACCACAGTTTTATGTCCCTACCTTTACTCATTGGTTCTAAGATTTGATGTTGACTCAGCACTATTAGGGGCAGTGGAGGGAATTTGTCTGAAGAAATTAATAAGTATGTGGAACAGAGATAGACAAGCTAGTCACTGAGGCTTTTAAGCAAAGAAGGGAAAAAGATATTTTTAGATAATGATTCATGTCATCCTGAAATAGTGCTCCAAAAAGATTCAGATAATTTATTCTACTCAATTAATTTGTCACTATGCAAAAAGTAGGCTTGATCTTCTGTCAATTAGAGAAGTAAGCAAAACAGGAATGAAGAGCTGATTTTCACTATTAATTACTGAATTGATTTTTCAATAACTGAGGATCTTGGGCAGCTAATGATAGTGAAAAAACTGTTAAAGAAAAATATTGATTTATAAGCTATGTAATTAGTAGACATTAAATGAAAGAGTGAGCTTAATTGATGTTCCCTTTTTAACTTTTTAGCCTATCCATTCCCGTAGTTACATAGTATGTATTTTAGTACACACCTTTACAACTATACATGCATTTTAGTGTGCAGCCTTACAATTAATATTTTGATTGATTAGCAGACTAGGAAGCTTTCTGTCTAAACTATTTTCCAGAATAAATTTTTGTGCATTTTTTTTCATGAAGTTAGTTGCTCTAGGCAGATGATTATATTTTTACCTTAAAAACAGTGATCTTACAATTTAGAAGTACTGTGTATCTTTTGTGAATTAGAGTTGCTTTTTCGTATTCTTGTCCCATTTGGAGACTTTCCTGGGAGTGACGGATTTTATCCAAAGCTTTGAGTGTTGCAGTGCACGTTCTTTGTCTGTTTATAGTACAGGGTATGGTAGGTAGACCAACCAAGAAAATTACACGTGGAAAGAAAACTTGATACTAATTCTAGGGGCAAATGCACATATTTGCAATTCTAACAACATGATTTCATATAAAATGAGATAATTAAGACTGAATACAACTGCAAGGCAGCTAAGGCACAATGATAACATTTCTGAATTCTTTTAGCTTTCAGCCAACAAAATTTGACTTCAGAATTTCTGCTGCATATTGAGATTTCCTGTGAAAATTCGGCTGAAAATTAATTCTCTTCATTTTCTTCTTTTACTTTAGTATAAAAATAACGATTCTGGGTTACGTATGATATATTTATATGTATGTTAATAAAAAATTTTCCAAGGTTACATTCTGTTTTTACTGGAGCACCTATAATTGCCAAATTACAATCGATAGTTCTGTATTGTGGGGTATGAGTCAGTGTAGTCCAAGTAAACTCATGTTGGGTCAAAATTTGTAGTTACCACCACTGATACTTCATATCAAAAGTATAAGCTATAAATAAGGTGAGGTCCTCAATCTTTTGGGT